CATCAGGTAGTGCAATAGATGCAATTTTGTCTAACGAAACACTTAGACCGATAGCTTATGCAAGTCGTACATTAAATAAAGCAGAGAAAAATTATTGTACTATAGAAAAGGAATTGTTGGCAATTGTCTGGGCAGTAAAACACTTTAGGCCATATTTATTTGGGAAAAAATTTGATATATTTACTGACCATAGACCGCTGGTTTACTTATTTGGTATGACTAATCCAACAAGTCGACTAACAAAATTTCGCTTAGTATTAGAAGAATTTGACTTTACTGTAAAATATATAAAAGGAACTGAAAATGTAGTTGCGGATGCTCTATCGAGAATTGAATCCACACAATTAAAGGAACTGGGTATTAACGTGTTAGTAACTACACGGGCACAAGCTAGATTGAAACAAAATTTGAATACGGGAAACAATGAAAATGATTCTACTGACTGGACTGATCACCCAGGCATAGTGGAGTTATTGAATTACCCCCCTAATGCAGTACAATTAAATATTTGTAGAGTTAAAAATAAGTCGGAAAACATATATTATGATAAGCGCGCACGAAAAATTATTATGCAGCAGATACCTCGATCAGCGTCAGCATTAGATGTGTCGTTGAGAGACCTGCAATCAATATGCATTGAAAATGAGATAGAAAATATATATATCTTGAAAGGTTATAAAAATAAAATGAACAATGAGCTCATTAATCGACTGTATAAGTTCGTAAATAAAATTAAAGAATACAAATTACAAATAAATGTTGTTACTGACGCCCAGCCTATTGAAAACAGAGAACAGCAACAATTAATTATAAATGATTTTCATAATTTACCCACTGGCGGTCATGCAGGAATTAATCGCACATATGCTAATATAAAACGTTATTTCTTTTGGCCAAATCTTAAACATGATATTGAAGTCTTCATAAAAAAGTGCGATAGTTGTCAGCGGTATAAATATTCAATTCCGCATAAAGAACCTTTAGTTATTAAGTCTACTGCAAATTCGGCATTTCAAAAAGTTTATCTTGATTTAGTAGGGCCCCTTAATCAGGATGTTCTTGGAAACAAATACATTTTGACATTGCAGTGTGAATTGTCAAAGTTTGTAGAGGCTTACCCTCTTGAAAATAAAGAAGCAGCAACAGTGGCTAAATCATTTGTTGAAAATTTTATCTTNTAACCAATTTCCCATGTGGTGAACGATTTATCTAATCCAGACGTTGCTCCTCCAGAATTTCCCGCTTGACTTATTATTATTTCTTTATTTTCTTTAGACTGATTGTATCCCATTTTGTTGAATTTATCTTCTTTTTCTTTTCTTAAATTTACTTTTAATTAGTTGTTTTGGTTCTTAATAGGCAGGGTCGCCATGTGATAACCGTTGGTGGTTATCTCAATAAGTTGAATATTAGATGGTGATGGAATTGAAAGATCGTTTAAATTATAACGTTCTATTTATTCATTCTTACTCTACGATTACATATACTAGACTAAAATTTTAAAACTTAATATTATTCGAATTAAACATAAACTAATTTGCAAGTTCAACATTTTTATTGAATGTCCTCAATTCGTAGGTGCAATGCACCTCCGAATTGCACGCATCGATATTACATAAATTCCGCAATCATTTCCTGTCTTGTATTCCATTACACCCTTATGTATCACAACGAGTAAGTGGCTTGAGGTAATTTTTATTTTGCTTCTGTATAAATTTGTCTTGCTATTTATTTTTGGGATTTTCCGTTGTTTTCGCGACACACCATTGAACGCCGACCGGTCTGGCACGCTTTCGGACCGGGTGGCGGGGACGCTGTCCTCATAACTCCTACGCCTCTACGGCTGTCAGTGTTACTCGATGATGAGTGACGTTGTGTCCTCCGTAGTTGCCGAATCTCAGGATGCTTTCGTTGCGGAAGGCACTCCTGCAGATGTCAACTTAAACAAATCAGTTACCGATTTTCCAAATAATGATTCTATTGCCAATGTTCAATCTTTTGCTAACGTTGTAAAGACTAAAACCTGTAGTTTTCCTTCAAGAGAGCAAGGTTTATTGTTTGATTCGGTTGATGGGTTTCAAAAAAACTATTACGTTATTAGTTTGGGGGGTTTAATTGGGCCAAAAAACATCATTTTTGCTTCTAGAATATCAAACAACCGTGTATGTATTTATCTAACCTCTAAAGAAATTGTGGAGAAATTTATTACATCTCACGGTGGTATTACCATCAAAGATAAATTTCTTTCGGCAAGACGTTTGGTTTCACCCACTAAACGAGTGGTTTTATCTAATGTTTCACCGTCGCTCCCGCATGAAGTAATTGAAAAAGAATTGAAAGCTGTGGGGTTGCAACCGGTATCAACAATTACTTTTATAGGCGCTGTATTAACAAACCAGAGTATCGACATATTTTGAGTTTCCGTAGACAGGTTTATTTGACACTAACCGATAATACTGCTCTCCCAAGTTCTTTACTCATTGAATACGAGCAGAACACCTTCAGAATTTTTTTGGCAACGGACGAGATTCGTTGTTTCATTTGTAAGAAATCTGGTCACATTGCAAACCGGTGCCCTTCCAAGGTTGATACTCCGGTTAATAGTACTGTTATCACTGCTGAAATCCATTCAACTGCTAATGAATCGTTAGCGGTTACCGAATGATGAAGGCACACAAGTTTCGAAATTAAATCCCTCGAATAGCGGTAGTGAAGCCCCTTACAATCCTACACAGATTCAAGGTGGTATGACTGAAAATATTGACGGCGACGTAAAAATTGTTGATGAAAACTTTGAAACGGTCAAAAAACGTGGGAGAGCTCCATCGTCTATTAGTTCTGATTCCAAACATTCTGAAAAATCATCCGTTTCCAAACCTGAGTTTGTTAAACCTAACCCAAAGAAACGTAAAGGGGAAAGTTCAATTGAATACTCTAGTGACTCTGAGTGTTACCCAGAATTCAAAGAACTATTCACTGACGATTTGTTTATATCGTATGAAAACTTTTGTAGCTTTGTGACTGATACAAAGGGCAAACAAGATGTCAGGGCAATAGCCCTTTTGTTTTGTAAGGATATCGATTCGTTATGTGACCTAATAGTTATGGTTATTCGTGTAGTGAAAACTAACGTACTTAAAGCGCGTCTCAAACGATTACTTAAAAAGCTTCGCTCAAATGACGGCAAATCGAATGGTAGTTCGGTTGGTGGTTCTCAAGATTCCGAATATTCTTCCGATGTCCCTACATATTAATTTTGTTATGAGTATTCTTAATATTATACAGTGGAACGCACAATCGGCGCGGTCAAAGAAAGAAAACTTAGAAGAACTACTTTATGATTTTAACATCGATGTTGCATTAATCTCAGAAACATGGTTTAAACCAGGTTCAGTAACAAAATTTAAAGGGTATAACATCGTACGAGATGATAGAGCAGACTTTACCGGACTTTGATATTACCTGTTGTACGTTAAAGTTTTGTGTTGTGATGATCTCATCGCCCACATGGACATTGGCGTCGAGTTTAGGGCGACGGCGGGACGCGTATGGTCGACTTGGGTGGAAAGAACCGTTAGAAAAGAGAAGCAATTCGGCCACTGGCGAAGACAGTTGTGTTTTAAGATTAAATTAATTACGTATTGATTTCTTTACTCAATAAAGTTTCCAGTTTGTATACAGTCCACAAGTTTTTATTTAGTGTTTTTGAAGACACCCAAACA